CTATATAAAACAATAGATTACTTTTCATAATTTCTGACAATTTCCAAATTATACAAATATATTAATTTTTTTCTTTTATTTGGAAATTAAATTTGTTAACAAAGGGGTTTTGCGCATGAATAACTACAGCACAAAAGAGTTTAACATATGTTTTAAATCACATGAGCTAATGGATTGGATTTATATTTCACAAGTGAGCCTGATACATTAAACATTATTTATTGATAAAAAATGAAAGTTGATTCAAATCCGGAACCAAACTTGAGCAAAGCTGAAAACCGAATCACCCCGGTTAGGTTCTGAATCCCATATTACCTTTCCTTGGAATCGGAACCAGTTCATGTGTATATTCATGTATATATTCTTTCTAAAAATACATCTAAAGTATTAGGATGTTTTTAATGATCTGATCTGGTTTGGTATGTTTAAGTCTGGTCTGGTCTGAACTGATCTGGTCTAGTCAGGTAAACGTCTGATCTCTGATTATTTTATAACTATCCAAGTCTGGTCTAGTCAGTGGTGGAGCCAGCGATTCATTTGAATGGTGTCAATTTTTTAAACTAAATTCTACTTCTATGACACAATTTTAAAAACTTTATTGATGATTATACATTTTTTTCAATTATTTGAGCCAAAATTTCAGTTTTAATACCAAAATATCACCATGCATATACAACCTTTAGATAAACTAATCGGATGATCAAGATTAGTTTATAGTTTTTAAATTATGAGAGGTTTGTATTTGATCTCTTATACGGAGTATATGTATTTGACTTTGTATATATATATATATATATTTGAATAGTTGGGAATGAATTAATTGTTTCTATAATTTGTTTCACTATTCTTAAATGGTGATAGTTTTGGTATTATCTAACATTATGTTCCCTTTAAAATATTGTACATTTTTCTCATCGTTGGTACTTTCAAGCACTTTATTATGGCTAAATAGTAATAAAGTAAAACTATGATAATAAATTTATCAAATATTACATGTGTGAAAGAATGACTATGTAGATGTTATGTTACACGTTATCTTATATAAATTTAGAGTCAACATAATAATAGGTCAATTCTTTCATTTGGAGCCTTAATCATAGTTTTTTTTGTCAAGTTTTGAATTCAAGCTTCGTTATATTTGTCTTGAATAAATATTATAGTGCATCACTTATTGAAAAGTGTAAAAGATATTAACCATGGCTAAATTTCATTACATTTAATTTTGATTTAGTTAAATAAATATATTTAAACTTTTTTTAAAATATTTTTGAAATAAAATTATTTACAAAATTATCATTAAAAGTTACTATATTACGGTGTCATGTACTCCTAAGTGTAAAAATTAAAATAAGTTACTATAACAAAGTTTCTAATGTAGCCACTAGACTTATGACATCAGGTTTTGTAAATAACTTTTATTTTAGTTATAAATATGTAATTATTTCATATATACTTATATTTTGACCCTCATTTTGTTAATATAGGTGGTGTCAAATTGATTCTTAGAAAATATACCATTATATATAACTACAAAAAAATATTTGAGTGGTGTCAATTGATAATCATTCCATTTATATAGGTGGTGTCAAATTAATTTTTTAATGAATATACCTCTATATATAATTACAAAAAAAATGAGTGGTGTCAATTGACACCACAATGTTGTATGTGGCTCCGCCACTGGGTCTCGTATGATCTTATATGTTTAAATATCTTCTGATTTGATCTAATTTGTTTAAGTCTGATCTAGTGTATCTGATTTAGAATTGAAAACAGTCTAAAACAAAATATCTTTAGTCGAGTAATATAATTATATAAAGAAGGTTCCGTTTGATATTCGTTTGAAATTAATTTTTTTGACTATATACGGCTAGGAAGACTATTTTAATGTTCAGTCAATTCGTAGATATTTCATTGTTGCATTATACGAGTAATTCCTACAGCCTAAATTATGGCGAACTTATTGCCTTAGATTCCCAGCCACCAACGACCGTAGAGACCTTAAATAATTTATTATGGTTTGACAAAGCGGATGTATATTAAAAGACATTGTGCACTATATGGTTATGACTTATGATCTCTTCTCCCATTCCTGTCAAAGTTCAATTCCCAATGCTCTAATCCCGACTCGTCTGCCTCATTGTCGTTTGGGTAAATTGGTCACAGTGGTTTGGCCGTTTGGTCATATGTTACCCCATGACTTACAATATCACATACTCCTGCCTTCGGGTACTACTTATAGGGGTGACAGCGGGTCGGATTTTCACCGGGTGGAGGTTCATCCATGTCCACCCGTTAATTTTTTATACTCCACCCACCCGTCCATCATCCATTAAAAATTAAATCCACATTCAACCCATCCATCTTGAACGGGTTATCGGGTGGATCGAGTGAGTAGCGGGTAAAATATAAATGGTCAAACTTGAGACAAAAAAATAAATTACAAAGAGAAATCATGACAATTAAAAACCAAAAATTAAGAATTCATTGTAAAATTACAACAAAAACATGAACAATTAAGTATATTACAATCATTAATTCACTGCCGATGATAAAGAAAAAACTGAATGCTAAACAAAATAGACATACAATTTCTTCAAGTTGTTAAATTCTGCATTTATGCATCGGCACAAAACTATTTTTGCTATTTAACTGCAACTTCTTGAAGCCCTCCAAGTATCTTTCTTTCACCAATTAACTATTATAATTATTATTATTATTATTAAATAGATATAATATATATTATATATTATATACTTATATGCGGGTCAGCGGGTGGGTGGATGGAACGGGTGACGGGTCGGATGATGGGTTGGATGAGCCTTCATCCACACCCGATCCACCCCGTCTTTTGATCCACCCGTCATCCATTTTTCATCCATACCTCTTTGGGTTTTCATCCATATTTTCGGTTCGGATTGACCGGGTATCCGCGGATGCGGGTGATATTGCCAACCCTAACTACTTATCTAATTACTCACGAAATGTAGTGTTCTAAAAGGCGACAAAAAGTCATATGCGCACCTAGACATTATGCACCAGTAAAACGTCTCACATAGTCACCTAGTAGCAAGATATGAAAAAGACGACCAACTAAAGAGCTTACCATGAAATGCCTGAAAAGATGTAAGTCTAGGTGTGCCTAGACGTTAAAATTATTTCTTGCAAAGAAAAAAATTATTAAATTTTAAAAAAATGCTTTTAAAAAAATGTTATTACAAACATGTTATATAGTGAATCTATTACGGATTAGTAAAAAGTAACAATATACTTCAGACATTTATTTTTTCCTCATGTATCACAATAAAAAAAACAATTATCAATAGAAATTTAAAACGTACTCCCTAGGCTTAATAGTTTCTCCGGCAGCAATGTTGATTTTTTAAATGGCGGTCGTCCCTCTCGTTAGGGTTTCAAGTTTCTCTGCAGATTGCCATTTTGGGGATCGTGCGGCTTCACTTCAGCGGTAGCGGGCAAATCACTTTGCGTATTAGCGAGAGAATAATTGGCAGATAGGGACGAAGATCCTCGCAGCGTGACAAGGAGGCAATCTAACGAACATGGTTGGAAACGCAGGACTGATGGAAAAGTTGATCGCGCAATGCGACGATTTGGAGATCGGGATTGAGGATGATGAACTGGTGCTCGATGAGGAGGACGCTGCGGAGTGCATGGAGCAGACGTTTCCGGGGGCTCATCCCACTCCTGAGCCGCCGCCATGGAATGCAAAAGAGTCTAGGATTTGGAAGAAGACGGGTGAATTCTGTTTTGATTTTGTTTTATTTTGTTTGTATTTTTCTTTCGTACTACATGTTGTTTTGGGTGTGTTCTTTTTTTCTAGCAGAAAGTTTTTTTGCATTTAAGTCAGGTGATGAGAAGTCTGGTATGTCTGTCATTGGCTCAGTTAAGCCCATTACAGGATCATCGATTCTTATTGCTTCTACGGAGGTGATAGTTTCTAAGTCTGGTTCAAGGACAGACAACACACATAAGACCTTTTATCATTTTCTTTCCTGTTTTATCTCTGATTGTATTGTCAGTCATAAAAATTCTCATTGTATTGTCAGCCAACTGGAAAACGTTTTATTGATTTAATATAATTTGTCTGTTTTGATGATTAAAAAAAATATAAATTTAAAACGTCTTTTCATGTTTGTACTTCGTCTATTCACGCCTAGGCTTCAAACAATTGAGACTTGATCTCAACGCCTTGTCATGTCTCATGTCTTTTAAAACATTGACAAAATATAAATACTACATAGGGAATATAATAGTGCTACCACTTGTTCCAAAAAAAAAAAAACAGTGCTACCAGCCTACCACAAATGCTATCATGCATACCATAAATGCCACAATGCTTAATAAGTATCATCTTCATGCTACCCTCCAGTGGTGGACAAAACGTGGGGTTAATGGGGGCTGTCGCCGCCCCGGCCCAAATCTTTTTCCCCTGAGTATATTTACCCTGAAAGTTTTAATATATATGTATTCATATGTATTTTTTTACACTGCCGCCCCTCCTAGCGGGAATTTCTACGCCCGCCGCTTCTACCCTCATCCACCAATTTATTTTCGACGGGTTCCTCCCTATGGCCCTCTCATTAGACTTTATCAATGTTGCTCTTTTATTTATTTTAAAAACATTATCACTTTCCTTTTATAATAATGGATTCGAGATTCATCTGGTATAACCAAGAATCACAAAGTGTATACCCGCAAGGATAGCTCAGTTGGTTAAGTGGTGAGAAAGTTGGAAGAATGACCAAAGACCGAAACTCGCAGCAGCCGTGTGGAGGTTACAGCTCCTGCGTGTTGGGCTGGATCTCTGGTGCACACGGGTATAAGGTCTACCACCATTGGCCGACTGAGTCACCGTGACTTACAACCTCCCAAAAGTCTTGTCGGGTCAAGGCGTGGGAGCCTTGGGATTGGGGAGCCTTTGTCTTTGGAAGATTTATCTCCTGTCTTGTACTTCATAGTTCCATTTTGGAAGAAAGAATCACAAAGTATATTTTTCTTATTTCACACAAAATTGATAACCCCCATACGTGTACTAGGATAATAATACTACAACTTTAGTACAAAAAATACGGAGTATGTCGATGTGTAGGTCGGCTAGTGGACCTAGCACACCTTGTGAGGCCAATAGGCCAACCCTCCATACTTGTACTTGGATAATAATACTACACCTCTAGTGCGAAAAGATGGAGGAGACACGTGCCTCGAAGCCTGTGGCCGACCAATCATCAAAACCTCCCGCGTTGTTTCAACTTTCAACGTTGTAGCTCACCCACCACACTCCACACTACACCTGTCGCCATCTCTCCCCCTCCAAAAGAAATAGTCTCCAACTTCTTGTGAACTGAATAAATAAGACTTAGAAGGCCTTCCCATGGAAGCTGATTTTCTTCCTCAACACATTATTATTGTCATCCTTATTATTTTGTACATCCACATTCCACCATTGTCAACCACCCGGCCAGACACAAACTAAACACCGGACGGCCAACGTAAGAAACCAAAAATGGCGACTTATCATTATCGGAGTTTGACACTCATCATTCTCGCCGGAGTCCTTATATCTGCTGAGCTATGTGGATGCATTGATGGAGGGATAAGGTTGGGTTCAAGATTGTTAGCTAAGGACGACGGCGTGAAGCGCTGTTGGGTTTCTGACAACGGAACCTTTGCCTTCGGCTTCACGCCCACCGCTAGCGGCGGCTCTAGCACCAAACGGTTTCAGCTAGCGATTTGGTTCGCACAGCTTCCTGGAAATCCTACATTAGTCTGGTCCCCTAACATGTATGTGCCCATGACTCACAAGTAAAATTCTCCTCTTCATTCCAAATGCATGTGTCTATTTTCGGTAGTAACCAATCCAACTCAAACACGGCCCTAATATGATAATCGAAATGTTTTTTCTTTCTGTGGAACACGTGTTTGATTGTTTAACTTTTTAAATATAGACAATATAACAATGGTATGTTTGTCAACAACAGAGCTATTGCAAACATATACAAGTAAAAATAAAAATCACTTTTTAATTATTCTGTATTACATTAAATAATTCAAGCATTTTTATGTTTGGAAACAATAAAGTTCAAAAGGAAGACAAAAACAGAGAGGGAAGAAATTAGTGCATGCATTGCAAAGGTTTCCTCCATCTCCATCTCCATTGTTAAATATAGACAATATAACAATGGTATGTTTGTCAACAACAGAGCTATTGCAAACATATACAAGTAAAAACAAAAATCACTTTTTAATTATTCTGTATTACATTAAATAATTCAAGCATTTTTATGTTTGGAAACAATAAAGTTCAAAAGGAAGACAAAAACAGAGAGGGAAGAAATTAGTGCATGCATTGCAAAGGTTTCCTCCATCTCCACACTTTTACTTAAGGTTTTGCAGGCAAATAAAACAACTGTTTGGCCAACACACCATTCATCAATTTTCTCCTCTTAATAATCTTGAATAGAAACTCCCCAGTCAGCAAAGATGCAATCTTGGAGTTAGATACCTCCGGTAGCCTCACCCTCACCGATGGCAGCACCACTGTCTGGACATCAAACACCTCTGACGCAGGGGCCGAGACGGCATCTGTGTCAGAAACGGGCAACCTCCTCCTCCTAACCCACAACAGAACCATCCTTTGGCAGAGCTTCTCACATCCATCTGATACTCTCCTACCAGGACAACCATTAATGGCCTCCATGGAACTTATCTCATCCTCAGCTTTCCCTTCTCCAGGATACTACACACTGAAAATGTTACAACAGCCCACCTCTTTAAACCTTGCTTTGACCTATAATGTCCTTGAAACTCTGGATTACTCGCCCGAGTCTTACTCAAACTACTCCTACTGGTCTGGACCGGACATCTCAAATGTGACTGGAAACGTGGTCGCGATTCTGGATGAGAAGGGGAGCTTCGGAATTGTGTATGGCTCGTCTTCCGCTGGTGCCGTATATGTGCACAAGAATGATGGCGATGACGATGATGGGTTATCATCTGCCACAACCCAATCCGTGACATCCAACCGACTCCTAAGGCGGTTAGTTCTGGAGAGCAATGGGAATTTAAGGCTGTACAGATGGGACAGTGATGTTAACGGGACAAGCCAGTGGGTCCCGGAGTGGGCAGCAGTGTCGAACCCGTGTGACATCGGCGGAATATGTGGCAATGGTATATGCAGTTTAGACAGAACCAAGACGAATGCTTCTTGCCGCTGCTTGCCAGGGAGTAACCCATTGACTGGAACTGATGTCCAGTGCTACCAGAACTCCTCCCTAACCGGGAAATGTGACCGCCATCACGAGAACCTGACCGGAGGTCACTTCAAGATGAAAACAGTCCAGCAGACAAACTACTACTTCTCCAAGAAATCAGTGATAGCGAATTACAGTGACACTGAGAGTTTATCCAAATGTGGGAACGCCTGCTTGTCTGACTGTGACTGTATAGCTTCTGTGAATGGGCTTCTTGAGGAAAAGCCTTACTGTTGGCTCCTCAGTAGCCTGGAATTCGGGGGGTTCGAAGACCCAAGCTCAACTATGTTCGTGAAAGTGGAGAGCAATGGCTCATTCCAGGGGGGGAACGGAACAAGGATGAGGGCGAGAGGGTCATCAATGGATAAGAATGATCGTGACAAGGTTTTGGTGCTTCCCATTGCATTGAGCATGAGTCTACTGACTCTACTCATTGGACTCCTGTTTTGCTTGTTGTATATCAGCATTCACAGAAAGAGGTCACTGAGGAGAGCTCTGGAAAGCTCAATGATGCTTTCTGGAGCTCCAATTAGCTTTGCTTATCGCGACTTGCAATCCAGGACCAGCAACTTCTCTCATTTGCTGGGAACAGGTAATGATAGATGGGTCTTGTCTTGTCTATCATCAATATTAACATGTTTCATATACTCCCTCCGTCCCGAATTATAAGATACTTTTCGGTTTACGATGTTTGACCGACGATAAAGCAAACGGGTCCCTGTCTGCACTCAAATTATTTTTAGAAAAAAAAAATTACATATTCAGAAACTACATTAAACCCGCTACAAAACCTGCAAAAAATAATTCAAACTTCATAAAATTTTGATACATAAAGTAAGAGATTAAGAGTGATTTGTGTTGACCAAGTGAATAGTAAAGACATCTTATAAAATGGGACAAAGGGAGTAATATTTAGATTAAAAATGGCATTTCGCCCCTAAGATCACTTAGGGGGAAATGTGGACTGAACACGGAGTTATTTACAGAGGGTATGGCGGGGTGAGGGGTCATTCTCTCTTGTTACGACTGACAAGGCTGAAAACATGGAGGTTACTAAAAGTAAAAACAATAGTAGTTTATGTTGTCAGGTGGATTTGGGAGTGTATTCAGTGGTGCGCTCGGAGATGGAACATTGATTGCAGTAAAGAAGCTTGATAAAGTTTTACCACATGGAGAGAAAGAATTTATCACAGAGGTGAACACCATTGGTTCCATGCATCATATGAACCTCGTCCGCCTCTGTGGATTCTGCTCCGATGGAACAAAAAGGTAATTTCCTGAATTTTCGGAACACAAAATAATATGACTCTCTTGAAGTAGACTAAAAAAATCAAATTCTACTGACCAGGCTTTTAGTGTATGAATTCATGAAGAATGGATCTCTGGACAAGTGGATCTTCCCTTCATTCACTAACAAGGATAGGCTGTTAGATTGGCCAACACGCTTCCGGGTAGCCCTTGGGACAGCACAAGGGATTGCTTACTTTCATGAGCAATGTAGGAACAGGATCATACACTGTGACATCAAACCAGAAAACATACTCCTGGATGAGAATTTCTGTCCAAAAGTGTCTGATTTCGGGCTGGCTAAACTGATGGGGAGAGAACACTCCCATGTTGTGACAATGATCCGAGGAACCAGAGGATACCTGGCACCAGAATGGATCAGCAACCGTCCCATTACAGTGAAAGCTGATGTTTACAGCTATGGTATGCTTCTTCTTGAAATTGTCGGCGGCCGGAGAAATCTTGACATGAAGTTCAATGCAGATGACTTCTTTTACCCAGGGTGGGCATACAAGGTAGAACATTATTTTATTTATTTAAAGACCCGAGATATCTAAATACCATCATAGCATTACCACAGACCCGAGATATCTAAATACTACGTATATAAACAACAACATCCAAGCCTTAATCCCAAAAGGCTTGGATGTTGTAAACAAAATAAAAATGTTATTCATAATCCGTTTTCAAATTTCTCTGTAAAACCAAACCTATGACAACATTTCCCTTTGCTTGCCTACTTGGCGTCCTCTAAGTTCCAAATTTGCACTACTATTCTACTAAGTATTCTAATTTGCCTATATTATGGTATTTTCATTCCAGGAGATGACAAATGGAACACCATTGCAAGTTGCAGATAGAAGATTACAAGGGACAGTGGAAGAAGAAGAATTAGTGAGAGCATTGAAGGTGGCATTTTGGTGCATACAAGATGAGGTCAGTTTAAGGCCTTCAATGGGAGAAGTGGTGAAGATGTTGGATGGGTTGATAGACATTAATACACCTCCAATGCCACAGACAGTAATGGAATTGATTGAAGAAGGGTTGGATCATGTTTACAAGGCAATGAAGAGGGAGCGCAACCAGTTGAGCTCCTTCACCATCACAAGCCGACCATCTTATGCTACATGCAGTTATTCCACAATGTCACCTAGATGATAATGCAAGAGCAATGCAAAAATAACTACGGTTTTGGGATTAAAGGATTTCTTGTTTAAAAAAATAGACAGGGATAGAAACAAGGTAGAAATGTAGCATTTATTTATTATAATATGTTGCAAAATGCAAAAAGAAACCAAATTCGGAAGCACTGTTTGACCAATATGCATATTTACATAGCACACAAGACTCTAAATTGACCTTTAGCCCTATACCAATACCAATTATTACCAAACTATCAATAATAAATAAAAAATGCATAACAACTCAAAGCTGAAGAGTAAAAATATCTACCGGACAAGACCTACCTAATCAGTAATTCACACCATAAAGAGATTATGCTTTACACCCAGCTACGAAGCACAACAGAAGCTTTTTCATGCCCTGATGAAGATGATGGAATAATGGCTTGATTAGCTTTGGTAGTACCTCCCAAAATTGCGGCCATTAAACTACCCCCGTGAACTCGGCCTTCTGGAAGTGAAAGTTCACTCGCTGAAACATTTTCGGCTACCAACTTAACTTGTGGGTGAATCACTTCATCAGTCGTTCCATTTGGATGGCTAGCAGTAAATCCATTTATACTTCCAAGGGTGAAGGGTTGTGGAGGCACTTGAACTAATGGGGCACTACCCTGTATTTGTATCTCCATCATCTGGGCACAATGGGCAGCACAAAGTCCCGACTTCCCTCTTGCAAATTTCTCACACTGAGTGGCAGTTTTATCTCCAACCTCGGGCCCTATCTTTCCCCAACAGCAACGCTTGCCCCCACCATGTGCCTTGCAGAAATCAGTACTCCCCTGTGCACTCTTACTACACCCTTCAAATCTGCACCTTTTACCACCCCCATGCCGAACGCAGAAGTCAGTACGACCCCTTGCACTCTTAGAGCACTCCGCCACCGCACATCTCTTTCCTCCACCATGACCGACACAAAATGAAGTGCCGCCGTGCACACTCTTCGTGCACCCTTCACGAGTGCACCTCTTGCCACCACCGTGCCCTTTGCAATACGGAGTGCTCCCCTCAGCGCCCTTGGTGCATCCTAGAAATGTGCACCTCTTACCACCGCCATGAGCTTTACAGAACTGCGTACTCCCTTGAGCACCCTTCGTACACAAAGGGTACCGGCAACGGCGGCCTCCACCATGGGAGATGCAGAGACCAGTGATTCCCTCAGCGCTCTTCGTGCAACTCTCCACCTTGCACCTCTTGCCGCCGCCGTGCCGGATGCACAAGCCGGACCCACCTCTTGCAGCTCTAGTACAGCCTCCATGACTGCAGCGCCGGCCACCGCCATGATTGATGCAAAAGTCTGTTCGGCCCTCGGCACTTTTGGTACACCCAAGGAATTGGCAGCGCGGCCCCCCACCGTGAGCCTTGCAGAACACCGTTTTTCCTTCTGCTCCTTTTTGACAGCCCTCCCTCTGGCACCTTCTTCCACCTCCGTGAGCTATGCAAAGTCCAGATGAACCTCTAGCACCCCTCGTACACCCTTCGAATTGGCAAGTTTTTGTGCTCGCATTACGTCTCCGTGGGGGAGGATCAACGTGATGCATATATACAGGTGGGTTTATCTCCATAGTCTGCAAAGGAGGTCCAGACTTCCATCTAGATGATGTTGAACCTTCATCCACAAGTTGGGTGACAGTAGTGGTACCTGATTCGGTTAGACCAGTTAAAAGGCTCAGTTCAAGGTCCAGTTGGGATCTTCCATTCTCTAATGTAGAACCTTTTGTTTTGTTTTGAGCCGTATTGTCAGCCCAATTAAGGTCAATGGTTAGACCAAGACTGATGGACGAATCATGTTCCGCTTCCTTTCCCGGTGATAATAAGGGAGTTGAATAACTTGATGAGTTGCCTAGTCCCAGGCTGAGTGACACGTTTCTCGTGAAACCGAAGGCGTCAGATTTTCTCTTGACTCCAGTACTTTCAAACAAAGGAGTACAATGCAAATGAGTGTTGTCCATGAACCAGGAACACTAACAGGAATTCAAGAAGAGAACTCTCAATTTTAGAAATAGGGTTGAAAGATTTTGGGGATAAGGTTTAGGGCAAAAAGAGGAAGAGCTAATCTATAGTATGTCCATTCAAGGGTTTCCAAAAGAACAGTTGCACCCTCCGCTAACAAATCCTGATGTATCACAGCGATCCATTCTTTGATACAAAAAAAATCACCAAATCCTATCACAAGCTACCAGAGAGCATCAAATGATAGTGCTTTTTCTTTCCAAGTAAAAGTGGCAACCACTCATCCTGCCGGGAAAAAATTAAACAGAGTTATTGAACAGCCCATGTAACAAAGCAAACACATAGCCCATCCTACAGAAAGGTCCCATAACTATGCAAACTTGAAAAGAATCATGGAATTCAAACAATTACATACCGCAAGTAGTATATGGTCTAGTTGATGCAAAGAGTTGCACAAAAGGGGCATTTGGTATGGATGTGAAAAGGGACTCCACATGCAGTGTAAACGAATTACTACATCAGAAAATTAAGCCATGAGTCATGAATTGACAAAGCACGTATCTAAAGGGAATCTACTTTGAGACAAGAATATACATCTCTTGACCATTTTTGGGAGTGAATGAGTAAAAACTGGACCACTACTCTCTGAACACATTACACATGCATTACCATGGATAGTTGGATCGGAGTGAAAAACTGGAGACTATAAAAAAGACAAAAGTTCTTCCAAATGGTGAAAAGCACTGAGGATCCTTGTAATAGACTCAATTAAATTTGGGGACAATAAAAATAGTTATCCCTTAAAGATATTAGGCTATAGTAGACTCAGTCTATATACTGTAAGTCCATAAACAATTAATGCATCAACAACATCCACACCTTAGTCCCAAAAGATTTGGGCTCGGCTAACATGAATCGACATATGAAACTGGACTTGGTTTTGCAAAAAGACATGAAACAAAATCAAATATGATTATTTCTTTAATATGTTTTCATATATTCTTGTTTCTAACTCCTTAAGTAAATACGGAGTAGAAAGAAATAATGAAATAAATTGGGTTTGCAACTATACTGATATAGGCATGTCTGGCTAATTATACTTCTTTCTCTATAATTTTCACTAATATCTTTCCAGTTCAAAACAAAGTCTGAAAAGTCACAAACAAGTTTTTACTCCTTTTATATTTTTTGATCTGATTTTGATAGGCTTAGAAGCTCTAGGTCTTGATACATTTATCCTAGTTTCAGGGCAAATGAATGGTCAATGATTAAATTTATTAAAACTCAGAGTATTTAGTTGCCAATATAATAAACGGGAATAAATAAAACATCTACAATATATATATATATATAACTAAATTTATATTCTGTATATTTTTGTCCCTATATTATCTCTTTCCTCCAATTTTTTCTCTATCATTTTGTCCCTCATTTTTTGTAGCGATATCCGGATTTCAACAAATCCTAAGAGTTTCAATGAGAAGGGTAAAGAAGTCCACCGGATACTATACGAATATACACGATTACACACCATCAGAGCAACATAAACTGATCTGTTTATAATGAAACAAATTCAAAGACATTAACTTTATTACTCTATTGTATTTGTATGACAGCAATGGGTATTAGTATGGTCTTAAGATGATGATCAAAGATCTAAATAGATTAAATATGTAAACAAAATAATAGCCTCAAGAAATAACGTGCTTTTCTATTGAGCAACAATTGCTGAGGGAAATGACACCATCAAAATAATTATTTAATAGCCAAGATAATAACTGGCGTGTGAAAACTAAAAAGGAGTCGGACTAATAACGTTGTGGAGTGACTCCAGTATATATCACAATAACAACAACTTGAGGGCTAAATAAACCAATTTCCCTTAAACATAATACTCCGTAGTTAATACCACCACAGCCCAGTTATGCAGATAAACTGTAAACACAAAAACGATAAACAAATAGGCAGAAAACGGCGGAGCTACAAATTTGAAATAAAAGAACCATCCAAAGATCTGCCAAGGATTCGTATACGAACTAACAAAGAAAACACAATTGATTTTCGTCTAATCTCCAGTTTCACAGCCAAATAAACAACACAGGAATAAACAAATCTAATCAGAGCACTTCCACGGTTTTCTAATCAATCAGACAGTGAATTACTGCACAAAACGGATAGCTAAGCTGGAAATCGGGAGCTGACTAGTCAATTTCCAATCAGAACCACACGAGATCGAAGGAAGCATAGAGAATTAGTGAATTACCATCAGGACGAGCGCTCAAAGGCGTAGGCTATCATCGAACACGCTGGCAGTGGATCAGAGTGAGGCTGCGAGCAGAGGTTTTGGGCGCCGAATCTGTAAGCGATGCGGCGAGGCGGGGGTGGGTGCGGAGGGGTATAGAGTCTATAGAGTAGAGAGCCGGCGGGCAGGGAAAGATGTGGAGAAGGAATTAAAAGGGTGGCCGCTCACCGACGATCCCACACACGTGCTGGTCCACGATGCCTTGTTGTGTGTCCTCGCCGCTACCGTTGCTCTTGCCCTTCCATTCTACGGAGTCAAATTAAAGAGATTTTTACGGCCTCAATTTTTCTACCCCAGCATCTAAAATGCAAATACAAGAAAATTCTTTTTCTACACACTTCTGTTGATATTTATGTTCTTTTTCTCTGCTAACATCAAATAAACACTAATATATAATCACTACTTATAATCCCCCTTTTGTCTG